TATAATTTGGCTGGCTTTTCTGTTCAAATCGATTTATGTCGTTATTCGAAGAAAGAAAGTAAACAAAGCCTTTCACGTCTAATTTTATTAGTTGCCGCCCGGATTCCTGTTTGCAATTTTTTCGTGTCGTTCAAAGACTACGAGTACCTACATGGATGTCGTTGATGTCGTTCCGTTTTTGCAAATGGTTAACTCTGTTGTTTGGTTTTAACTGAATTCTGTCCTCTTTCTAGCTTTCTTGGCGTCTATTCTCCGTAGATTCTTGACCACCTTCATGGGCATACGAGTAAACTATAATAAAGCCAGTATTTTTCTCTGGTTAGCATCTATCCTCTATTTTATGCAATATTTCTCTTCTCATCTTTAAGCAGAGGTAGAAAGATTGCTCCTCATAACATTCATTGTGAAGGTTTAGTAGCAGTACGTTTCGCTAAATGTGAAATAAAATATCGGGATGAAACTTGTATGTCGAAGAAAATTCACAAACCTTTTATAATGAAGGGAGTAGATAAGCCACATAGACCCAGCATGACGTACTACTTGAGGTATACTGAAAGTTCTTGGAACTGGCCACTTATAGAAGAAAGTAAAAAAACAAATATGGAATTTGAAAAAGGAACTCGCTGGGAGTAGGTTACTTGGAGAAAAAATGGCGGGTTTTTGTAGCTACAATTTATAAACGAAGTAATTTTTATTTTATTATTTATTATTTATTTATTTATTTAGGTAACAAACAGTCACATAAGCAACAATACAAGAGACAATTATATACAAAAAGACCTATAGTACCCTAGTTTGCAGAAACAATAACAAAATTAAATTAAATAGTGCGTATGTAAGTAACGGATACAAAATAAAAATAATATATATATATATATATATATATATATATATATATATATCTATAGACTACAATAAAAATAAAAATAATTAATAATAACAAGTAACTATATACTACATAATATACTATTTAAAAATAAGTTCGCCCACTTTTTTCTTAAAACTATATAAACTATTTGCAAACACATCGACCTCACCTAAAAGCTTATTATGATATGTACAAGTTCGTCTGAAAAAGGTATTTTTAGCATAATTTGTATGACAAAATGATACATGAAAGGTAGACTTAGAACGTGAGGAGATACGAGGTACATGAAACTCAACTTTGTGTAAAAGATGTAAATGATGATTTTATGTAAATTTCGTTTCAAATTCTCTAATTATTTGCTGCCTCTTTATGCTGAGGGCTCTATAACCAATGCTCAATAAATAACTAATAATAATAAGCAGGTTACTTTTCACTTATTTTAGGAAACTGTCATTTGTTTTTGATTGTGACGTCGTTTTGAAAACTGTGAGTCGCTATTACCTACAATGAATTTCAGTCGTGAAAATTTTCAGTCCATCTGATTTCCGATGTGGTTGAGTCAACAAAAGAGCTGTTAGAGACGTGATGCAGCCCTATGTCCTAGCTCTGTCTATTGGTGGTTCAGTTAATGTAGATGTGGACGTGATCATTTGCACGACGATGTACGTGAAGGTCGGTCGGCGACTGCGGTTACCAAATTTGATATCGGTACCGTACGATAACTGATCGAAACTGACAAAAAAATTCTTGTCAGCAAATTCGTACTGGGTTAGGTATTGGAATGAGTCAGGTGCACAAAGTATTGCACGTGCATCTGGTTTCGGAAACTTTGCAATCGATGGATACTCCCGTGTAGGGTATCCACCAATATGATACGAAGCTCTTTCGTCTAATAACAGGTCCTTCCTACGGGGGCCACAACCCATGTTATCATAAAAAAGTTAGGTACTGTTTCTCATTACTTTTCAGTAGTAACTAAGTACACAAATAGTACAACTTAAAACTTGAGCAATTTACGATAACCAAGTCACCGTCAAGTAAGTACTTACATGTAGTGTTTATTAAGTCATGTGGAGTTATCGAACAACGTAATCTGCGCGAGCGCTTGTTCCCAGAACTGTCGCGACCGTGTTTTAAAGTTTCTTGTAATAACAATAACACCACAATTATTGTAAACTCGTCAGTTCGTCGCGCTTTGCAACCAATTTCACACAAAAAGCTGTATGTTACACGTCCACAGAGTCAAGCAGTAGAGTAGCAATACAATGTATCATTTTTGGATACCTAACAAAAATTTTAACTGTTTGTGAACGACATGAGGTGCATTGACAATGAAAAGACGCCAGTGGATTCGTAGCTTCTGGAATTATAAAAGGTCATGAAATTCTCATGAAAACACAAATATATTACCAAAAGGCTGCCTATGTAGTAGCCAGATAGTATTTACACATGTAGGTAGTTGTTTGTCACAATAATTTGTTACAATAAAGTAATATTATTAGTTACTCCTGTTTGGGTACTTCCGAAAGAGAAAGAAGTCTAAAAAATAACGCGATTTTATATAAGTTGGTTTGGTATTGTGAGACCAAGACGGCTGAAGTTTATCCAAGAAACGAGACAAAGCCAAGCGAAATAAACCAATTTAAAACTTCATTAAATGGATGTAATTGTGCACCAACGTGATTTAAAATTTAAGATTATTTATCTTAATACCTTAGTAACTTTGGACAATGTAGGTATTCTATCTGACATTGAGGGTAGACTTAGGTTCGTATTCTAGAACTCTACTCAATGCTCAAGTCAGGATTTGAGTATGGTTTAAAGCACTCGAAATCATACTCAAATCCCTGCCATTAGTGTCGTATTTCCAGTGCTTGTGTTCCCATTGCAATCCTGACTTGAGCATCGAGTAGAGTTCTAGAATACGACCCTTAGTATTCATAAAACTTCAAAAGACTAGATTATTTTACAAAATAAAGAGGCGATTTCTTTGAGATACTGTAAAACAAGACCAAATATGTAAACAACTTTAAAGGAACTATAAAATGCAGATAAGGATTGTTCACAGCGAACCAAAAACCATTAGAGAGCAGACTCTTCATAGAACAGTGATTCCCACAAAAAAGAAGGGTCGATCTACTTCCGATCAGATCATACCCGCATAGTTCAACATCACTCGCTATACTGATTCGGTATAATCTATTTAAATTTAGCCCTAACTCTTTGTATTAAAGACTTGTAGTAGTTCGTACAGCTGCATTCAAGTGTTTGTAAAGACGTTCCCCTCTTTTTGGACAGCGGTCATGCAATTTTTCAATCAAATTCGTATTGGCGTTCGTGTCTTCTTGCAATCAGTCATAGTGAACCCTATTTTTAGAAAGTTCGTTACGGCAATTGCGATTAGCTTTTGTTCAACAATTTGTGAGAACAAACAGATATTAGAGTATCTAAGTTTATCTCATTGGATATTGACGTTAAATAAGAAACTTGTATTTTATAAGTAAGGTAGATAACAAATAGTCGATACACCAAGTTCTCGCCTACTTAATACCGGTACAGTAAAGTCCTAACTTTGTTACTCATCACTATTAGGTACCTACCTACGTATTTTTGATATCATAAAAGATTTTTTCTTAATTCGGGTTACCCTAGAAATATAGTTCCAACACCTAGATTATTTGTACAAAAACTTACCGTTTAGTATGAATCTGTTTTTGTCATTCATAAGTTCCTTTGCGAGCTTGGGACATTCCTTTTCGAGTACGGAGCACACCTCACTCAACTTCGCGCCACTTTGTTTACTAACAACTTCTACGAAATAATTACACTTATCAGAGTCCGCCGCACTCGTAATCAATTCAAGGTCATTGAGACTAAACAGTCCCTTTTTAACCAAAACATCTAAGACGTTTGTATCGCAAAGTTCGCGGAGTAATACCGACTTGTGTCGTATTAAGCCGACACAAACATCACCGGCCGCAGCCATCGTTCAACTAACTAAACGAAAGAAATAAGCCTGCCATTGAATCGGTCCATTCAAAGTGGGAGCAGATGCAAGCGAACGTGCCGCTTTTGCCTTTGTGTCCAGTCTTGAACCTTGGCTTGGGGCAAATACTAGCAGCTTGTGTTCGACATCCCGTTTTTTGCTTTTGTATTGAACTACGTCACACTGGGTACCTGGCGTCCTGCTGTAGTTAGTAGTTGTGTTATTATTGACCTTACAACTGACGAAAGGGATAATACCCTTCAATCTGAAATTAGCTGAACAAGCATTATGTAGCTATTTTTATTTGATAAATATACCGTGATGTTTTTCCAAGCTACTCATAAGATAAAAAATAATTTGGGTTTTATCATGGTTTCATGTCTCTTTTTACTAGCTTCATATTTATTATAAACGTTTTTAAAAGCCCCAGGGCGGCGGCAATAAATACCTATATAATGTATCTATATGGCATTGGCAAATGACACGAACAGTGAACATTTTACATATTAGAAAATACATGAAAAGGAAGGAAACGAAAGTAGAGGCCTACCTACATCCAGCAGATGGAAAACAAAAACTCAGATGACCATTCGTAAAATAGTATAACGTATACAAAATAACATACTAACAAACTATACATTAAAATATGAGAATGTCGAAAATGTATCGTTATAACAAATAAACACCGAAATATCCTCTTTTAGATGTATAGCTCATAGGTTTAGCTATTATTAGATATTGTTACTACCTGAAAGTAAGATTCATTAAAAATATTTCCGAACGGTCAGAAAACTGTCATAAAGCGTTTTTTTTTCCATTCGTTCGTTGCGGGACGAAATGAATAGACAAAAGAGCACAAACCACAAAAGAGATCGATCGGTATGCTTGCTTCGTTCGGTCGGTTAGCAATTGTTTCGTTTTGGTTTGGTGCGTCGTCGTCATAACGATAACCTAAAAATTGTTACTTACATAGCAAATATTATTATACTTTAATAATTAAGTATTCTGATACGTATGGCTAATTAGCAGTTCGGAACGATTTTATTTAATCACATAAGCAAAGCATGTTTTGTAGAATTTTGAGAATTGCGATAAAGTTTCGTTTAGGTAACTGCTAGAAAGTTATTCTTTAACCTGATTCTAAGTTCATTAAAAAGTAATAACAGCGTTTAGATTTACTCTTAGGGAATCCAATGCGGTTATTGAATTACCAAACAGTGTATTAGAAATTCGGAATAATGGCGCCGAAAACAAGAGGACATTTTGACGGTAAGTACCTCGTTTATATAAATTTTAGAGCCTTTTTGCCATTAACTGTGAAACGTAATGAATCAGTGTGCTAATTTATAGTGTCTTAAGTGAGAATATTCTCTATATAGTCCCAGAGTATAACCTAAAAGAAGTCACCTTCCAATAAAATTTGTTTGATGCTCGTGTCGCTATAAAGATTTATAGTATACAGTTTATAGCATTTGTAAAAAGCTGTTTAGTGCCCGAGTCGTTAATTTATTACAAAAAACAAATTAACATATGCGATTTTAAACCCGAAAAATAGTTTTGTTTCCTATACCCACATAGCATACGCGAAAATCTAATAACTCGATTTATAGTCCATATTTTCACTAGTACAAGTGACAATCTGTATTTTAAGTAATGTATAAATTTCAATTTTTGTTTCCTATACCCACATAGCATACGCGAAAATCTAATAACTTGATTTATAGTCCATTTTTTCAGTAGTACAAGTGACAATCTGTATTTTAAGTAATGTATAAATTTCAATTTTAGTGTTTAGGTGTTTAGGTCAAGACAGTTGTGTAGTCAGATTTATAATATTATTATTCTTCTTACTGTATCAATGAAAATACAGGCACTTTTTTTGGACAAGAAAGTTTATGTAGCTAATATTTTACTGTTTATGTAGCTAATTTGAGACTGAGAAACAAATTGATTAGTTCTTTGACAAATTTTGAAATTGTAAGCTTTGCCGCACACAATATGGCAATAAAAGTTTATAACAAAGTACCTCTTTGAATAAGAAACATTGGAAATAATTATGTGTCCGCAAATGTTCTGAAACGTTAGTTGCTCTTGAACTGTTTCTATGACTTGCAACAGTATTTTGATAGTAAAAGTAGATGATAAATAAATTAACAAATAAACAATGCACACACTCAACATAGCCCCGCACTAGGGAAACCCTTTGTCACGGGTGCCATGGACACACACATAGACAACCACAAATTACACCCAAACTCACGAGAGAAATAAATGTAGGCCATACAAACATTTCTCCCGGCCCGGCAATCGAACCTGGGACCTCTGCATGGCAGTCCGGCATGGTAACCGTTTGGCCACATAGGCAGTTTGATACTATGATAGTTATAGTAATTTAAGTTCACATTAATTTATGTATACCTTTTAGTATTCATATTAGTATAGTGAAGTAGGTAATTACAGTGCCCTTACAGGGTTTATGTTGGAATGTAATAATAGGTTTAAGACCTTTTGTACCACATAAAGCAATAAATTATATGATGACTATGTCACACACTATTATTACAGCACTAGTAACTGCCAAGCCGAACTGTGCATGGGATATGTTTGCCATTGTGGTGAAAGGTTTTGCTAACAGCATCAGGTACTGGCCGATTGTTGCCTAGTTTGAGCCAGATGTATTAGGAATACTATTCATACAACATTGCAGGGAGGCTCCTTTCACGTACACCACATTGCATGACTGAAGCCTCCTCTTGTATTCTTGTTAATATTGTTTATGTTGAATATCTCACAGGACATTGGCGAAATCGCCATTTTTTTTTTGTATAATTTTTAAAATAATATTAAACTACCGTACATAAAAGTAAAAGTAAAAATACTTGACATTGGCAAAATCATTGATTATTTTGATGGAGCCATAACATTTAAAAGAAGAAGAAGAAGAATACTAAACTACCGTACATGGTTATTTTTACTTGACATTGGCAAAGTCATTGATTATTTCGATGGGGCCATAACATTTAAAAGAAGAAGAAGAACATTGTTTATTTTACATTTCTGCTAAAAAACTAAAGATATCATAACATTTCCTGTGCTGTGTTGCACTAATAACGAAATTGACATTCTGTTATTCATTGCGTTTGTTGCAGAACGATACAAATAAAAAATCATTTGTCATTTATGCTTGGTTTGCTTCATTTGGTTAACTTTTTTTCATATTGGTATATACAAAAAATAGTTATACGATAACCTAAAAATTATTACTTGCAATAAAAATTAACAAATATTATTTTACTTTAATAATTAAGTGTTCTGGTACATATGGCTAATTGGCATTAGCAACTCAGAACTTATCTGGTCACATAATAAAGCAAAGTATGTTTTTGTAGAATCTTGAGAATTGTGGATTACTAATAAGGTTACGTACAATGATCCTCTATTCTGCAAGTGTCAAGTCTATAATGAAATTAATAAGGACAAGAGTTAAGACATATATTTTCAAAGTCATCCTGCATTTCTGAAATCTTGCAATCTTAAGATAATGCAATAGTAATAATGCAACAGTAACAATGCATTGGTCAGCACATTACTTTTGTTAATTTGGTTTGGTAATTTAAGTTATAATTTGTTAAGTGTAAACTCTTCCAGTCATGTTATTGTAAGGTATTTGTTAATTTTTTAGCAGTGTTAAAATTAATATGATAATGCTGTGGTTAGTAGAATGCAGATTTATTCTTCTATTTTAATTTATTAACTTGTATTCTATAGCTGTGCCAATAAATAAATAAACAAATAAAAAACATAAATGGCAATAAAAAAAAGTGGTAGTTTTTTAAATCTTATTTCGTGATATTGAAGTAAAGTTATAAAATATTACTAATAAGGTTCGGTTCTTTGCACTAGATTAACTTCAATGGTCTTTTGTTTAAGAAATTAGATTCCAAAACATTTTTAATTTCATCATTTATTTTTTATTTGTTTCAGATACTGACTCGGGATCAGATTCCGAAAGTTCAAGTTCCAGTCGCAGTAACAGCCCTGCTGTGTCAGGCAAAGCACACAGTCGATCGAGGTACTTATACTATGACTTCTTATGATGTTGATTTTGTGAAGCGATGGATGATAGTGAGTCAAGTATAGTGCTATAGTTTAATTTATTAATTCAGTCTTTGGTTTTGTTTTTTCATTTTTATTGTTATTTTTTAATTAGTTTGGTTTCACGGCGCATTGGTTATGGAACTGTAATGCCGTGTAAACATATTTACAATAAATAAATAAATGTTAGGCTTTTTCTATATCCTATATTTTAAACTTCACCTAAAGAGTTGTCTACTGAGTAGTTTGAATCTACACTTGATGATGAACAGCAATAAGAGAAAATGGTTGCTCTGTAGCAGTAAGGCTTTCTTTTCTATTTTAAAATTACTTATTATTGTGAGTTTCAGACATAACACCATTGACTTACAATTATATGGACGTCGGGTCCGCGCTAAAAAGTGTCCGCACTTGTAAGGCGCTAAAATCGTATACAGAGCGCGACACTCCGCTTTAGTCTTCATTTGTTCTACGGACAGCGCGATACTGCGATGACATAACAATTTAAATTTCGAATAGGTTGACTTGGGACATTTTTTTCGTGGTTTTTGTAATAGACCCGTCGTCCATTTATTTGTAAGTCAATGCATAACACACAAAAATTTTTATACTTATCGTGTCAATTTCAAGTTTGGAATGAAATTAAGCAAGAATTATGATGACACTTTCTACACTACTCTTTACAGGTCTCGCTCTGGAAGCGCAGCTCGCTCAGGCAGTGAATCTCCCAAATCTAACGCTTCTGCTAGATCTCGTTCTCGGAAATCCTCCAATGCTTCTCGCAGCAGATCAAATTCTCCAGCAGGTTCCAACCGTTCTGGTTCAGCTCATAGCAATAAATCAGGCACTCACAAGTCGGCTTCTTCTAGCCCAAAGTCTAATGCTTCCGGAAGCCCTAAGCGCGCGTCGAAGTCTAGATCCAGATCTCGTTCAGGGTCAGCCAGTGCTCGTTCTGGTTCTGGTTCACCAAAATCTCGCTCTGCCAGTCCCAAATCAGGGGCACAAAGCCCTAAATCTGGGTCCCATAGTGGGAAATCCCAGAGCCCTAAATCCCAATCCCAGAGCCCTAAATCTAATAGATCTTCAAAGTCTCGTTCTGCAAGTCCAAAATCTGCAGGTGCTAAGAGTCGGTCACGTTCGAAATCCAGTAGCGGAAGTCCTAAAAGCAGGAAGTCTCGGTCTCGATCTGGCAGCGCGTCATCAAGGTCCAAGAGTCCCGAAACAAGGCCCGATGTACAAGACAGCAGATCGAACTCTCCAAATTTGATGATAGATGATGATCACACCAAGGACAAGTCTAAAAGTAGATCAAGGCAAGTTTTGGTATTGTAATTTTAATTTTTTCATCTATTTTCTTTAATCATATTACACCTTAAATTCGTTTTTCAGATCGGGCTCAAGACAATCCAAGTCTAAATCAAGGTCACGCAGCAAGTCTAAATCGAGATCGAAAAGCCGTTCCAGATCGCAATCTAGGAGCTCAGAAGAAAATGAAGTTGTTGGTAAGTAAGTGAGCATGAGTATAACACAAAATTAAATGTTCTTTAAATTTGTCTGCTAGTATGTAAAGAAGCGAAAGCATTTTATTCATAACGGTCACACAGTCTATCTTCTCCACATGGGATGCAGACATAATAGAATATCAATGTTGAGAAGTAACATAGTCCTGGACCCTGAAAACAACATTCACATTGTTAATACAAGAAATTATACTTGGTGACAGCCTTGTTAGCCAATTTAAGTATGATATGATGAAAGTTAAGTATACTCTTAAAAATTCAGCAGGTGATAAAAAGAAAAGAGCTGTACTGTCTGACTCGGAAAGTGAAGGGGATAGCAAAGCTGAGAAACGCAAGAAGGAATCGGACAGTGGCTCAGACACCAGTGGTAAACCAAAGAGAAAGACCAAGAAACTCCAGGACTCTGACGATGACAAGGCCAAGGACGACAATGGTATTATTTGTTTTCTAATGCTTAAACATAATACAGTTTCACCCACTTGTCTAAGCTAAAAAAGGAACTATTGTTGCCATATTAAAAAGCCAAACTCACTGTCAAGTTACTAGCAACACTGCATAGATACTAGTGACGTCACTCATGTCACATTCTCTGTCTGTTTAATTGTGAAAAACAATTTAAAATATACGGTTTTCTTGCGGCACAATAAATTTGTCAGACTTTTCTACAATTTCACCTTGATGGTCCAGTTTTTGAATGGTCTGGAAGTTAATCTTTTAAACAGGGCTCCAAGTCTGGTAATTTTCTTGTAATATCTGGTCATTATAATTCCATTGAAACTATTGAAATTATATAGCAATTATGATAGTCTTCATTATTCTGCTAAAATCTAGTTGCAATGGCAGTAGAGTGTGTATCTCAGTAGAGCATAGATTTCCAGACTTTTTGGCTCTCCGCCCACTTAGGCAATATAAAAATTTTCAACGCTCACCACCACGCAAAATAATTCAAAACACGTATTTTTAACTCTTCTTTTTTACTTCCGACATTGTTTTGTTTTGAGAAATACGTAAGTAAGTGTCGAACTTAAGTACTGCTTATCTATTACACACGAAACCGCAAATGAAAATAAAGTAAATATTACATTGTTTATATAGGATTGCATAAGCAGCCGATTGATACAGGAATGCACAAATCGGTTTATTTAACAAAAACTTGTTAAAACATGATTGCTCGCGGTCTATTATCTACGAAAATTACCTATCTAGGAATACTAATAACTATTAAAATGCGAAACTGTGTCTGTTGCTGTGTTGTTGTTTGTGTCTACATTCATTTCGAAACGGAGCGACCAGTTGACATGATTTTTATTTTATGTATTCAATAAAACAAGACAGATATATGAACTACACGGAGAGGCGTAAAGGGGGCGTTACCGCCCACTTTGGGAAAGGCTGCAGTAGAGTGTCAGTGGAATGGCAGTGATTTCATTCATTCATTCAATCACTAACGATCCATGTTCCCCAGGAGCATATAAATGATGTTACCATACTAAAACTGCCATGGAAATTTTTATGCATATCTTTAGTTTTATTTCGTTTAATCAGCAATTTGTTCTTTTTTTTTATAAAAAATAAGTGCGCATTTGACCTCCATCTGACCTAATGAAAAGTGACGATGAGGTCGAGGATGTAGCATGCACACCTAAACAATGCCTATGCACTCTCGCCTTGAAAACGTACAAGTTATAGCGTTCGGGAATTCCACTCCCGAGCCGCTCGCCATACAAATGTGGAAGCGAAACGCTTCGTGCGAATCCGGGGAATGTCCACAACATAGGGGTGGAACCCCCGCCCACGTCTAGTCTCCCGTTGATGGTGATATATCCTGTAAAATACCCATTGACTTATAATTATATGAACGTTGGGTCCGCGCTAAAAAGTGTCCGAACTTATAGGGCGTTAAAATCGTATACAGAGCGTCATTCACGCTCTAGTCTTCGTTTGTTCGACTGACAGCGAAGCAAGCAAAATTAGACAGTACTGCGATGACATTACAATTTAAATTCAACGTTTTAGCTTTTTCATATTCCTTTACATGTCACTACGTTTAAATAGGTTGACTTGGGACATTTTTTTCGTGGTTTTTGTATTAGACCCGTCGTCCATTTATTTGTAAGTCAATGAAAATACCGATAAGCTGGCAACTCTACGGCGGTGTTCAAGGCTCTGCAGCTTCGCCTCTACTAATTCCGAGTCTCTTAGGATGCTTGTCTATTGAATCCAAGGTGATCAGTTGGTATTTATGGGAGCCATCCCATAAATTGCAGCAGTACTCCATACACGATTGGACTTGTGCTTGGTATAGCTGAAGCGACTGTCCCGGTGTGAAGTAACGCCTAATCTTGGAAGGGGTGCCAAGCTTCCTGGCTGCATTTTTGGTCTTCAAATTAAATATTATAATATTTGTACATTACACCATTGACTCGCCAATGAAGAGCAGAATGAAGTGAATGGTAGCTCGATGGTTAGCCACTGACAACACACTACTCTTAAATTTTAGCAGAATACCAAACGTACCCCAAATTCTGCCATTCGACATTTGACATAGACACTCTATCGACACAGAACTGAAATGACTTAAAATTAACAGACTTGGGACCCAATTCGTATGTAATGCCCGAAAGAACCGAATTACTTTAACGGACGACGTTAGAGTCGCCTTATAATTTATTGAGTTCAATTTTGTGACAGTGACGGCAGATGCGCTGTTCGGCGACGCGTCGGATATTAGTACGGACGAGGAGGCCGCCAAACGGACAAACAAGTCGCGGTCTCGGTCGCGCAGCCGCAGTTCCGATCGATCGGACGACGATCGCCGCCGCTCCGGCGATGAAGCGAAGGCCAGTAGCGATGAGGTAAGCTACCGATACCGTACATATTTAGTCGGATGCAAAATCGTACAGGGCCTCTGGCGGTCACAAGAAGAAATATTGCCATCAATTCTTTTAAAAGAATTCTGTGTTCTTAAGAACACACTTGATTGCACCACAACTGCCCACGCTATCTGCGCGTTGAGACATGGCATAATAAATTCTAGATTATCAAAATCAGTCGTATGGAAATAATACAATAATATACAAAAAAAAACAGAGTACCGGTTTTCCTATTCATATTTATTGCATGTCACATACATTGCTAATTATAGATGTTACAGTGTTGGGCAGTTAACATGTGACGCCCAACAAGGGCATGGCAAGTCCAGAAGACAGAGTTGTTTTCTTACTTGTATATTGCTTCATACATTACTTTATAATATTATGCTACATAATTTATTTTTAAAAGGTTTGAAACAATATCGACCGATGTGAGTTATAATCTCAGTACAGAGTACTAAAAAAACCGACCTCAAAAGTACTTGGAATTACATATAATTGCCAAGTTTTATTGAAATCGGTTATTGGAAAATGCGCAAACCCGAATTAGGGGATTAGTTCGCCACGATACGGGACTTAACACAGGAGACAATAAAAATCGGTTCTCACTACTCAAAGTATATTGAGAGGGAAAAACGCCATGAATTGAAGAATAGCAAAATCAACCATTAAAATAATTGCTCCTTATAATAAAATTTAGGCGCTATTTATAAAAATGAATCTCATCATCATGCATGAACAGCCAGCTTACAGGTGGATGATTTTCTTCAAAATTAAATGGGACCACGATGGAGGAGGATGATTTTCTTCAAAATTAAATGGGACCACGGTGGAGGATACCCTCTTTCCAACAAAAAAGAATTATGAAAATCGGTTCACAAATAGCGGAGTTATCGCGTAACATACATACAAAAACAAAAAAACATACAGTCGAATTGAGAATTGAGAACCTCCTCCTTTTTTTAAAGTCAGTTAAAAATGGGCTAAGCGACATTGGAACATCTTATTTCGTCGTAGAGTAATTTTGTTTTCCATATTTTAGCAAGAAAATCGTACTAAACCTAACGATGAAGAGGAGCCAGAATTACCAGAAACACGTATCGACGTCGACATGCCCAAAATCTGGACGGAGCTTGGCAAGGAGTTACACTTCGTCAAACTGCCAAATTTCTTGTCAGTAGAAACACGTCCTTACGACCCCAGCACCTATGAAGACGAGATTGATGAAGAAGAAACCCTTGATGAGGAAGGTCGAGCCAGGTGAGTGAGCTGAATTTCAAGTACAACACAGTTTCGTGAACTTTACTAAGTCCTGAAATTGTGGTACAAATAGACTTTTGACGTCAGAGTTTGTGTTCTCAGTAAATTAGTACTTTGCCAACAAAACCATCTAATATCGAGGGATTTTTTTCTAAGTGTTCGATTATTGTATTAATAATTATAACTAGTCGAGTAATTTCACAAAAATAATTGAATAATTACCCATCTTGACAAAAAAGAAAAGTGCCTCTGTATATTTCTAGATATTTCCAAAGCTTTTGACACCGTTTCTATCCCTTTACTCTTGTCCAAATTAGAAAAATTCGTATTAGGGGTCCACAATTAGAAATTTTCAAAGATTATATATCTAACCGTACTCAAGCTGTAAAAATCGGAAGTTATGCGAGTGATGACGAGCAGCTCTCAACTGGCGTACCGCAGGGCAGTATTCTTGGACCTTTATTCATTACGTATATCAATGACCTGTGCCAACTCCACCTCCCAAACTGCATAACCTACGCTGATGATACTGCCTTACTAATTCACGGATCTACATGGGAGGAAGTACGTGTACTTGCTGAGAATGCCTTTACTTCGGTAATGAGATGGCTGTCCTCCAATTTACTCACAATAAATTTAACTAAAACATTTTTTATCCCTTTCGCACTTAGACAAAACTTCCACCCCCCCCACTAAGACCTTCTTTATAAAAGCCCATACCAGCGAGAATCCGACACATAACTGTACTTAACCTTTCATTATAGCTACTAATCAAATTAAATACCTTGGTGTCACTATTGACCAAAACCTCAGCTGGCGCAACCATATCAATTCTATGTCTGCAAGAGTTCCTAAACTCATCTATGTCTTCAAAAACCTTATGCTAGTAACTGATGCTAAAACCCTCTACATAACCTATTCTGCCCTATGTGTGTCTTTGCTCACTTACTGTTTGGGGTAGTGCACCAAAAATAACTATGATAAAATTGGAAAGAGCGCAGAAGGCGGTCCTTAAAGTTATGTTTAAAAAACAGTACCGTTACCCAACTTCACTCTTACACGCCGACCTATCAGTTCACTCAGTAAGACAACTTTACGTACTACAAGTAATCTTGGTAAAACATATGTTATTTATATGTATGTTATACATATGTTAGTTATGTAGGTCCGCTGTTTCGTTCCGTGGCTTAGTTGGCATAGCATCTGACACGGTTTGCTCGAAGACGTCGATTCGAATCTGGCCAAATCGAAGAAATTTTTTCTAAGTGTTCAATCTTTGTATTAATAATTAGAAATCAATATTCTCAAACCAGAAACAGAACCTTTTGGAAAATTGTGTCATCAAAGCATACTACCACGGAGATTTTTTATACAAACCCGTAGAGATGATCTGTGTGTTCATTATTCTGCTGCTTTGGTACTAGTAGAAATGGACTGTTGCTCTTGCAGTCGCTTTGCCACCCTTAGAGGTGGAATATTTTCTTTATAATTTAAATGGGCCCACTACTGAGGTACCCTCTTTCCAACAAAAAAAGAATAATAAAAATCTGTGCACAAATGCCGAATTATCTATATACAGATGAATTGAAACCCTCCTTTTTTGAAGTCGGGTTAATAAGTCATGGAATAAAAGCTGTTGTTTATGTTGTTAGTTATATAATTCTGAGAGGTTGTTAGTATTTTACAAATATTACTTATACACGTAAAAGTCACCTTTTTTTGTGTCGGGGTTAAAAAATGACAATGAACAATTTCAACAGATTGAAGCTAAAAGTGGAAAACACGATTCGTTGGCGTCAATCGTTCGACAAGCAAGGCAACGCTATCAAGGAGTCGAACGCTCGTCTCGTCAAATGGTCCGACGGCAGCATGTCGCTGCATCTCGGCTCCGAGATATTCGACGTTTACAAACAACCGTTACACGTAAGTATACATTTACTCGTTGTTAAATCAAACAGGTTAGTTTTTAAGTCTTACCATGTTGCAGAATTATTAAAAATTTGTTTCTTCTGTTACCTTCTACCATCGAGTATGTAATCAGAAATAGAGACGAAATGTCATTTAATTTGTTTGAAAACTATTTTGCCAAATCATTACTGTGACAATTGCGCTCCGTTTGGCCAGCCCGAATTCGAAACAACTGACGGGTGTCGTCAATTGTTTCACTTCAAATCGACCAGTTAACTTGAGCTTTGCTATAATGGACGAATATTGCAAAGATTCCGTTTGTTTTGTAATTAGATGTTTTGCTGTTTTTCCCTACACCACCAAACTAAACTGCACGCCATTGTTAGAGATATTATCTTTATTACAATAAATACAGAATATTTTTGGAATATACGGAGACGTACGTCCAGGTCAGTTGTTGACGCTGTTCTATTTCAGTTTTCTAATTTGTGATTTCAGCGCAAACGAGAGTTGATATTTAAAAGTGATATAAGGCCCATTTACCTGCTGAATTGCCAGGGATGGATGGCCCTTATTTCGTCTCTGTTTCTTGTTACACATTTATACCCGATGCCTTCTACTTAGTAGAAAAGTAATTAGAATGATGTTATATACGTAGTCAGTACAGCGTACTAAAAATCCGACCTCAAAAGTTCGTGGCATTTATTTGCCAAGTTTTATTGAAATCGGTTACCGGAAAGTGCGCGAAACCGGATTCGTACCCTGGTTTGCCACTCTTAGAGGTGGAATATTTTCTTCAAATTTAAATGGGATCAATGCTAAGGTCACCTCTTTCCAACAAAAAAGAATCATTAAAATCGGTTCACAAATGCCACAGGTTATCGCGTGACATACATATAAAAAAATACAGTCTAATTGAGAACTCCTCCTGTTTTTGAAGTCAGTTAAAAACAGTAATTAGCACTGATTCTGTAGATAATGTCACACCCGATGCATTGCGCAGCTGAATTTCTGTAATCCAGGGACGTTGAAATTTAATTATCCTCTGATTTCATTTTTACTTCAAATAACTGTGTATTTAAAAAAGTCTCTAGGCCATATACTTGGTCAAAAGATTAACTCAGTCCAATAATAACTTAAAAGTTTTAAAAGGAAGACTTCCTTTCTTGGAATTATTTAAAGGTGTCAAATATTACTAGAAACATTTATTTTTGGTAAATTCATCATCGTTTATTTGTCTTGTAAAAAGTAAGGGAGCAAAAATTGTTATTTATGATGTTAGTTATAAAGTTCTGCGAGATTGTTAATATTTTTACAAATACCCTATATAGTGAAAGAGGTCAATATTTTTTACTTTATCCCACCACCCCCACCATTATAGTTAAAACACGACCTTGCGCTGAACGCTTTCAGCAGATTTCCACAAGTTTATGGTAGCAGTAGAATTCCTTGTGAAATAGTGCGTCCAGGATAATACTGCCAGTTTACCTATTTCTTCCGCCAAGCAGTAATATCAGCATTACTGTGTTCCGGTTTTGAAGGGTAAGGGTGCTGGTGAAATTACAGGCACATGGGACTTGTCAACTTATGTCTCAGGGTGACGGGCACAGTGGTAGGGCCCCTCAGATCTTTGCAATTTAAAGCCCTGAATGGTACTGTAACTGTTATGGACAGGCGTGTAGCTTACCACCAGGTGCACGACTTGTTCGTCCCATCACTTGATGTAATAAAAAGAAACTTTCGCCAGGTCATTGGTCTACCTTGTAGTGGTCTGACCACGCTGTGTCTTCTACGTCCTTTCAGCGTACAAGTCAATATTAAAAAATTTACATGATTAACAATATATCATAATGTTCGTCAAATCAGACTTGGTTGGGCAGCTTTCGGGAAGCTCCGAGACATCTTCTCGTATAGAATACCGCAGTCCTTGAAGTCAAAGTCTTCGAGCAGTGCGTGTTGCCAGCGCTGACCCACGGCTCTGAAAGGTGGTCACTAAATTTAGTAAGGATAGTCAAAAAGCTCAGAGTCACTCAACGAGCTATAGAGCGGGGCATGTTCGGCATTTCTCTACGTGATCGAATCAGAAATGAGGAAATCCGTAGAAGAACGAAAGTGAAGTGGCAGTGAATAGGGCACGTAACTTATTCACACAACTCGACAGAAAGGTTCTCGTGTGGAGAGCACGAACCGGGAGGGGTTCAGTGGGACGGCCCCCTTCTAGATAGACGGATGACCTGGTAAGGGCGGCCGATAATCGATGGATGCACGTCGCTTCCGACCGGATAGTTTGGCAATCTTTGGGGAAGCCTATGTTCAGCAGACGTCTTCCAGTTGATATGATGATGATGATGACATATTTGTTCTAGGGCGACCATAACCATCTGTTCGTGAGGCAAGGCACAGGTCTGCAGGGCCAAGCCGTGTTCCGCACCAAGCTCTCGTTCCGACCGCATTCGACCGACTCGTTCACTCATAGGAAGATGACGCTATCGCTCGCTGACCGCTCTACAAAGACCTCCGCCATCAAAATTCTATCTCAAGTCGGAGCTGATCCTGATGCTGACAGGAAATATCAGCTAAAGGTAAGACAACTTAAACTCATACTCAAAGTCATGATCATTGGCCGTTAAACTAAGGCACATTGGGCAAAAATCAAATAAAGAGTATTTACAATTATTAATACAAAGATCGAACACTTAGAAAAAAATCCTTCAATACGGCTAGACGCGAACCAACGTCTTCCAGCAAACTGTGCCAGACGCTATGGCAACTAAGCCACGGGACGAACTAGCGGACCTTGCGGATGTTTCTATGTGATTGTTGCAGATCTTTGTTTTTTACCGTCGCGTCATCTGTGTCTGGGGGTCTACTCTCGATCTCCGTCTGACATCCGTCCGAAACAATTACTGTCAAATATTCGACAAAATTAAAAGACAAGTATCATGTATGAAGCTTCATTCGCATCACGCGTCTTTTCATTTGGTCGAGTATTGCTTATTTGGCAGTAATTGTTTCGGACGGAGATCGAGAATAGACCCCCTGTATCGAATCTAGCCGGCCCGAAGGAGTGTTCGATCTTTTAATAATTATAACAAACTAGTGAAGTAATTTCACAAAAATAATTGATATCATGATCAAACATCGTGACATACAATAAACTTAAAAACAATCAAAGAGTTAGTTCCCTATTTAGTAGCAATAAAGTCCTTTGTAAAAGAGTTCGTCCAGGGAAGTACTGCCACGTTACCTATTTCTACTGCCAAGCAGTAATGTGAACATTTTGTTCCGGTTTTAAAGGGTAAAGGCGCTATTACTGGCACTTGACTTTTCAACTTATGTCTCAGAGTGAGCCCTTAAGATCTCTACGATTTAAAGCTATGAGCGGCACTGAAACTGTTATGGACAGGCGTGTCTCTTATCACCAGACTTTGCCTTGCTTGTCCCGTTACTTGACACATATCTAAAAAAAAGCAAATTTCTTTATTAATTCTTAGGGTCGTATTCCAGAACTCTACTCAATTTAAAGCACTAGAAATCATACTCAAGTCCTTGCCATTAGGGTCGTATTTCCAGTGCTTGAAATCATACTCAAGTCTGCTCAAATCCTGACTTCAGCATTTAGTAGAGTTCTGGAATAGACTCTTAGTTTAATTCGTTTATTTATTCAATTTAGTGAAATGTAAATTATTTATTAGTCTTGTATTTGGCTAGACTGTAATGTAATTTATTGGTGTTTTAGAAATAAATAAAAAAAAAGAAAAATTGGTATCTTAAAAATAAACCGTACTGTTTTTGCACCGTACAATATTTTTGTTAACTTACCAACCAACAACCTACTTATTGCATGTGTAAATGTTCATCAAAGACAGTTGACAACTCGCGTCACTAGCGATCATCACAGATAAGCGTTCGAATCTATAACACTTTTTACTTAATACATCAACTTTTTTGTTTACGTCAACTCAACGTACTTCATCCTAATCTACTTAACTATTACTTTGACCAGGCGATTGCATCGATGCAAGCGCCGATAAATCCCAAATGTAACGATGCAATCGCTACTTTGTATCGATGCAGCCGCGCGCTTGCATCGCTGCTTAAAATCGCGTGCGTGTGAATGTAAACTATTAGAGACTCCATCGCTACTGCATCGCGTTTGCGTCGCTGCTAAAGGTCACCGTGTGTAATCGCTCTTAAACGTTCAGAGACCCAAATATCTGGTCCTTCGAGCCGGATATAATAATAACAATAACGCACACCAACATAGCCCCGCACTAAGGTAACCCTGTGTCGCGGGTGCCGTAGACGTATAGACAACCACAAATTAAACCCAAACTCACGAGATAAATAAATGTAGGCCATACAAATTATATTTTATTATGTATTGATATTACGTATTATTATGTATTGATACTTCGCAAACTTTATAATAATTGACTAAGTAAGTGTGTCTTCTACATAACCCAATTACGTACTGACCTATTGAAAAGTACTGACGTATTGACATACGCGAGCAGGCTGTAGACAGTATAAATAATGACCACTGATAAAAAAAATCTATTTCCACTCTATCATTGGTTGCCTAGCAATAGTCATGTCGAATTTGGCTACAGTATAGTCTTATACGGGGAAAGACAGTGTTTTACATATATTTTTTATAATACCAAGTGATGGGACGAACAAGTCGTGCCCCTGGTAATAAGCGACACGCCTATCCATAATGCTCTGGCCACACAGAGGACGACGTGCGGCTGGCGCGCGTTTCGTTTTCTCTCCTATAGCACGCCTTTCTGGCGGAAGTCTCCAGTAGCGCCCCGATCCGAGATCCGTGCCCACTGGACGCTCTCAGGCCCGCTACTTAGTTTTAAGTTTTAGTTTCTAGCTTATTGTAGGGTTTGTAAGCCTTCAGCTCGCCCTTTTTTTCGGTGGCGCAGTCAAGGCCATCAGCGGCCAACTGCAACATTAAAAAAATATTTATATATATAATTATATATTAAATATTTATGTATTATATAATAAAATATTTATATATTAAAAAATAATATATAAATTTTAAATTATATATATAAAAAAAATTCTCACGGCCCGGGAATCGAACCTGGGACCTCTGCGTGGCAGTCCGGCATGGTAACCGTTCGGCCACGGAGGCAGTTAGATAGGCAGTTCGATGTCAATCTATACAGTTTAAAAACAGTTGATTTTTAATATTTCAGAAAGAAGAAATGGAACTACGCGCAGCAATGCGTTCTCGCGCTTCAACTCGGCCTAAGAGACGGTCGGGGGCGGCGACGAGCGCACGGAGCACAGGTTCCCGGGCGCCAGACGACTCTGACGACGAAGGTGGTGTTTCGCTCGCCGCTATCAAGAACAAATACAAGCAGGGGCAGAAAGGTCAGTCGCAACCGTAGACAAAGATTGTATTAGGTTGACCAAAACGCCTGTGCGGTATAAGTGAAAAACATTAAAAAATTATTATCTTTGTTGGCCATGTTGATCTGCAATATTTTGCTATCAGTTGTAACTTTCAAACTACACTTTAAAAAAATGTTCTAAAATACCGCTGTAAGTGTCGTTTGATAGTCTCTTGGTTATCGAAGTCGTGTCTGTTTAAAGAATTTTATAAATACCCGAAACAAGTCTCTTTGAAGGGACTATGTCAAATCTATATGTTCAGGATACCGAAAAACTTATGAAATAATAATAATGTTAGGAGACTCAACATATCTTGCTTAGTCACTGACGTAATTCACCTAAATAGGTTTTAATATCTACGGTAAGAAATAAATTTCTAAATAAACTCACGTACGTTACGGAATAATTCTACAGTCGGCAGACTAAAGCACATAAGTCAAAAAAGTGCTTCATTTGTTAATATATAATTATATATTTTTTGTGTAGTTTTTAGTGTTGGAAGTTAAATAACCTCTAGAATAAAGTTCGAAATTTATGAAGTAGTAAATGTATTTGACTTATGTGCTTTAACCAGTAGATGTATTAATTTAAATGAATGATGTTGGGTTTTGACTTATGTGCTTTAGTCCGCCGACTCTAGAATTATTATTTAGCGTAAAGAGCAAACTTTGAATGCACTTCGCAACTGACATCAGTTAGCTACTACGTATTTTTACGCGTGATGTGATACTTTATTGCGACTAGGCTAATATATAGTTAATATATTATATAAATATATTAAACACTGCAAGCACACAAGCACACATAACATTATGAAATTTGAGTTTTGAGCATTACATTATATGAATGGGCCCCAGTGTGAAATATTTCTGTACTTTTTTTAAAATATCAAGTTACGGGACGAACAAGTCGTGCGCCTAATGGTAAGCTACACGCCTGTCCATAACAGTTGCAGTGCATCTCAGAACTTTTAAATCGCAAAGATCTGAGGGGCATTACTACTGTGCCCGGGTTTATGAAACGAGCCGACAGGCGAGTACTAGAACATAAAAACATCACACGCGTGTTTTAATGCCTAATTATGTACAGTTACATACACTGCTTTATCTACACACGTATATACTCTGTGATGTGTTCAGGAACCGCATGTTACGACTGGCGAAATGGCGGCAAATAAAAACTTTTCTCACGCATGTCACACAACCGTAGGTTTTATTTAATTCATAGACAAACTAGAGTCGGCCCCAACTAGCATATCGTTCGATATCAAGTAACGTGTGAATTTTGTCAAAATTGTTTGCTATAATTTTGTATAACTTTATCTCGATTTAACTCGAATTAACTTCATCTGGACCGATATTAGAATTGAGGTCGAATCAAATTGTTTTGTTTTTCAGAGATTTTCAAATTTGAATGTTATTCGATAACATTCAAATTATTAGAATATAATAACGTCGAATTCGATGTTAGTAAAGCTATAATAACATTTTTACAGATAAGAAATTTGTTGTAATAAAACAGTTTATCTTTATGCTGTTCGTAATTTGCGGTTTTTGAACACATCACAGAAGATTTATGTTCGTTTTGGCGCTTTATGCCAGAAACGCAAAATGCCAAACGGGCTAAATGTCAGATTCGCAGAATGCCAGATTCGCAGAATGCCAAACCCGCAGAATGCCAAACCCGCAGAATGCCAGTAATTAAAATTTTCGTAATACCTAATTGAAGCTTGAAAGTTAGCAAGTTTCTATATGCCAGAAAGATCAGATATTTAGTAGTTAGAGGAAACTATATTTTGTTATTAATAAAACATCGGAACCTCGTTTCATTATCATCATTATGTCATCCGAATGACATCCACTACTGCATTTAGTTTGTGCGACTGGAGGAGGAAGGCATGATCCTGGCAGTGATATTTGGCATTTTGCGAATCTGGCATTCTGCCCGTTAGGCATTTTGCGTTTCTGGCATAAAGCGTCAAAAGCTTTATGACATTATACGTGTTTAAATAAAATACTTTAACTAAAAATTAATTCAACCGTAACAATTGAAACCACTAAAAACTGCCACATTTTTCTTGTTCACAGACTTAGAAATACAATGTATTTAATTTAATGTATTGATTGCAGCATCAACTGGTGCTGCTATATATTCAACCGAGTCGGAAGGATCCGACATCGAAACACGTCGTGCTCGTAGGACAGAACGCACCAAAGCCATAAAAGACTCTGAAGATGATGGCAGCGATGCGAACGAAGAAGCGGGCGAAGAGACACCACAGCATAGCGGAAGTGCTAGTGGAAGCGCAAGCGGGAGCGGAAGCGGTAGCGGTAGCGAGTGAAACTCTAATGGTAACGGATAATACGTGCTTGTAAACTTATTTTTAATATAGTGTTAATGTGTGATTCATTATATCGTCACGCGAGCAATTTTACTATATAATAATAATAATGGTACTATGTTTGACAACCTCACTAATATGAGCAACGGAATTCACTCTTTAGAACCCATTTATAGACCAGATCATAGACCAGAACCAATTAAAAAAAAGCTCAATTTCCCAAATTAGAGACCTCCTCATCCGGTGTCCACAATGTAATCGCCGTCATCGAGGTCGTCAGAGGTTTTAAATATAATCGTGTATAATTCGGTTTTGCAAAAAATAAATGTGTGCGTCTATGTTTTTCGTAACAAGTAAGACAAGAACAGGAGTTAATTTTAGATTACACGAGTAAATTTGACACCTTGTATGTATATTCATTGGTACTTCGTTTTTTTAGTTTTAGCTTTATTTTGGGTCTTTTATAAGGCGCAATTTCATACCATGTATTGACGCTAGGATGCAAGAAAAGTCTTGGTTTTCACAAATACTGAATATAATGAGACTGAGTACTGAATATTCAATGAATATTGAAAAAATAGCAAAACGATGAGGACGATTCGTCGCTCCGTTCTCGCAAATTAAAAAAGTGCTGTCAGGATTTGATTCCGGGACCTCCTCATCTAGCGTCCACATTACTAGTCGCTGGCCTACTGACCTCCTAAAAATACGTCTAAGAAGGAAGCACGGTTCAACAAATATATT